ATTGATTATAAACTCGTTTGTATTTTTTAACATAATTATTATTATTTTTGAATATATATAAAGGGTATTTAATTAATTACAAATCGTTTGATAGATCTATTCAACGATTTTGGAATGTCAACTATTACATGTTTAATTGTTAGATAAAAGGGTCTTTTACATTATTGTATTGAACAACTAATTTATCGATCGACAAATGGCGTGTTAATAATTCATAGACTATTAAACGGTCACTGATAGATTTTATGTGATACTAGCTATATATATATATAGTATCTGCATTATTTAGAACACAATTGTATTATAACTCGTTGAAATTTATTAGCCGAATTAACTTTTAGTGGTATGGTACGAGTGTCATCGTTTCAATCCTATCCTACGATACTGATAAATGTGTTTATCGAATTACCAATAGTTCAATTATTTCTCATTTCAAAAAGGTGATAAGTATATCATTTTACGGACATGAAAACTGATATGAAGATTAATCCTGATACTAAAAACAACATCCCTACCAGCTTTTCGTCAACATAGTCATCGTTATACATAACCTGTAAACAGGTTAACATAACCTATAACCAACCTAGTATTTCACGATAATCGAGCTGACCTTTGACAACGTGACCCTTGAAGTGTATGCTTCTGTATATTCTCTCTCTCTCTCTCTCTCACACTCTTGCACTCTTGAAATTTCGTGTGTACGACATGTTTGGTTAGGTTACAAGTACGATAAGGGATTCGAATGGTGGCACGCGTTTTGTGGTCAACGTAAAGTCAGGATAGTTCAGAAACGGTTACTTACTATGAAATTATGTTTGTTCAATGGAGTCAGCTAAAAATCATTACTTTGTTCCTTTAGATACTTTTATCTATAATAATAATAATAATAAGGTAATAATTAATGAATCATAATACTTCATAACTAATACAAATGACAAAACTGAATCCTTTTATGTAATCAAAAATGGTGTACAAATATGATCAAAATCAGTGTCATATACAAGTTACCTGAGTATCGAAAATCTTTTGTTTATTTTTGTTTAATCTGTGACAATTGGTCTCACATTATATATCACAAGTGTATAGAAAATATCGTAGAACAATTTAATTAACAAAATGAAAGATAAGAGTAGTGTAGCATGGTTGTCAGAGAAAACAACTAAAACTTGAGAAACCTAACATCACGTTGATCTTTTGTATTAACAAAATAACAGGGTAACAGGAATATATCGTTACTTAACCCTTTCGTTGCTGTAGTATGTTCCATAGGAGTAATACCATTGAACGGGGTCCCATAATTGAGGCGTTGTAAACCAGAGTGGACACCAATCAACAAGCTTTGATTTTTATATTTCTGTCTTTGTAGGGTTCAATAAAAAATAACGTTTGATATTTTTTATAGAAAATTATAAATTCTAGAATAGTTCATTTTGATTGTTAACATTTCATATAAAAAATATACTCAATGCATATCCGGTTATTTGCACATCTACAAATTTAGCAATTATTATAAATAAGAATACAATTTAATATATAATTCATGTGTTAAATTATAATTCATAACAATTGAATAAAAAAAAAAATAGTATAGCTATGAAAATATCAACTATAGTTAACGTTCGTATGCACAAATAGTCACGTGAATGCCGACTATAGTCGTACTGACATCGTACTGACATCGTACTGACATATAAAATCAAAGAAATATCTTTTGACATATACGATTGAATATTATTTTCCAATGAAACTTTTTCTTTTCTTTTATGAATATTTAACCTAAAAAGGGGCTTTTCAATTAAGATATTTCAATTAATTAACGTAAGTGATGGAAATAGCAAAAGGTAAATAGTCTGCTTGAGGTCAAGTAAATGGTTTTTAGAGACAATCTAGATTTTCATTATTTAATTAAAGACAAAGACGAATAAGTGAAATACCACATGAACCAATAGAAACCACTAGATTCCTGTGTCTAGGTGACCAAGTGTGGGGGAGTTCGGAAGGTTTGACCTTTTACATACAATGATGGACGGATAAAATACATTTTATAAACTGTCCATTTCATTTTATTTCTTTTTCCGATCAACGTTATCAATCGTTAAAAACAATACTCGTTTTTACTCGAGTTTTTTTTTCTTCATATTGGTATAGAGAGGAAAAATCCTGACAAACAGTAAATTAATCCACTACTTTTCGTATCACGTCGATGCAAAGGGCAAAATAAAAGGAAACTATATGAAATACGAATAAATTCGAAATCAAACAAACGATAAGTAATCTTACTTCTTTGCCTAGGGGGAAAGGGGAAGGGAGGGAGGAAAGAGGAGGGGGAGGGGGAGGAGAGGGGAATAAAAAAAATATAAAAAGAAATTAGGTCAACGGGAAGGAGGTTCTTAACTTTGGAAAATACCACGTTTTATTTGGTATTTACCGTGTTAGGTGGGTGGGGTCATCATCGATGATTGCTATGAAAGAGAAAAGGACGAAAAAATAAAAAAAATAAGAGGAGAAGAGAGAGAGAGAGAGAGAGAGAGAGAGAGAGACAGAGAGGGAAGATTTAATGAGGGAGATTGCAGGGAAAGCGGATTTAAATGGACCGTGTATATAGGTATAATATATACGTATTATATCTACAGGGTGTATGAGATATTTTCACTCGAGACGAAATTTTTCACTCATCTTTTATGAACGAGGATAAAGAAACGATATTGCCTAAAAGACTTTAACGATCTTTTACCTTTTATGATACTCTTTCTTTTTATTAGAAAAATATAATAAGGGTAATCATTATAGCAAGGTTTATCAAACTGTGGTTGGTTACCCCTAATACCTGAGGGTCTGAAAATAAAAAAAAATAAAAAAAACAAATTGATGGTCATTGGAAAATATTAAATGAAAAGGACACAACGTTACAAATTTAAATACAAAATTTATTGCATCAAATTTATTTGAAATAAAACTAATGAGATTTTTAATATTCACACGTTATGTTAAAAATTCAAATATCGAACTGTGGTTGATTATACAGTACCAAATAAAAATACAAATTGACGATTATTGGAAAACATTGAAAGAAAAAGAGAACATTTTGCAAATTTAAAATTGCTCAATTTATTGCATTAAATTTATTTTATTATAAATAAAAAAAAATGAGATTTTTATTAAACACACGTTATGTCAAAAATTCAAATTAACGTCATTACATTAATATGATATATAATATGTCTT